TCACAACAAGAAGTCAAGAAGTTGTTGAAGATAAAGATGACAGGGCAACAAATGATGATCATGTCATAGAGATATATCAGGAAGTGAGGGAAAATAAGCAAGAACCAGAAGAAGCTATACCACTTGTAAAGACAACTGGAGAGAAAAAGAAAAAGGAGGCTAAACTTGTGATTAAGTTACTATACCCTCTGAGAGTGACAAAGAAGGATCCAAAAGAGAAATACTTTGAGAAATTTATCAAAATGTTCAAAAAGTTAGAGATCAATATGCCTTTCTTTGAATCACTCGAGCAAATTCCCATGTACAAAAAACTCATGAAAGAGGTAATCGATAAAAAGATTCCAATGGGAGAGGAGATGACAATTTCAACGGAGAAATATAGTGAAATATCACAAGGTGAGAAAATGCCCATAAAGCAAAAGGATCCTAGATCTGTAGCAATCTCATGCACTATAAAGGACAAAACTTTCAAGAAGATCCTAATTGATTCTGGTGCTAGTGTAAGCCTCATGCCATTATCTACCTTTAAAAAGCTTAGTATTGGAAAGGTGAGCGATACAGGGACAAATTTAAAATTTGCTGATCACACCACTAAGCGGTCATATGGGGTAGCAGAAGATGTATTGGTGACAATTGATAAATTTAGATTTCCAGTTGATTTTAAGATCATGGATATTCTGGAAGATGAAGAGACTCTTATCATTCTTGGTCGACCATTCTTGCTTACAAGTAGATGCAATTTCGATATAGAAAAAGGCACACTGACTTTAAAAGCATATGATAAGGAAATAACGTTGAAAATGTTTGAGATCAAGAACCAAAGGGAGGAAAAAGATAATTACTCTCTAATTGGCATGACCAGAACATGTGAGGGAGGTCAAGTCCCAAGATCACCACCAGATAAAATCTCACACATAATCTCGAAGAGGGGGCCATCGTCTTCAGCTTCAACAAGCATAAGCACTCAAAGACCCATTCCTAAAGTCGAGAGAAAGAGGAAAAAGTGGCATCGAGGTAAGGCTGTGGAAGCGGGAAGTCACTTGTTGCAAAAAAGGGACTCTATATAGGAAAAAGATGGTTTCCTTGTTTCGAAAAAGACAAGCAACAAGGTGTGGAAGCTGAAGCATCCGCCATAACAGGGCGAATGAACCGTCGAGCCATGCGACGTTAAACGAAACGCTTCTTGGGAGGCAACGCAAGGGATTTATTATTATATTTTTAGTATTTTTATTTTTCCATTTAGTTTATTTACATTTTATATGAGTCAAGTGCATCAGCGAAACCACAAGTTCTGAGATTTAACTGAGAAAAATTTGAAAAGTAAATTTTTTTGAAAAATTGGTGTTTCACTGCCCATATGCGTAACATGTCCTTTCTTACGTGTAATGCAACACAAAAATGGAGGTCCTCTGGTGAGATGCGTAGCATACGCGTAGGCCGGCTCTTACGAGATATGGCCTTACGTGTATTTGACCTAATACATGCATGATACATGTAACGCGCAAGATACGTGATCTATTACGCAGATTTCAAATTTGCGCATGAAACTGCCTCGTATCATACGCGTAACGCTATCTCAATATGCGTAAGGTGTAACACCCCCTTTCTATACCCCCAAAATAATCACATAATCATTTAGTCACATATTAAAAATTTCGTCAGAGTATAATTATAAACATAGTATAAAAGAGGCGCGTCACATTACATGTGAAATTAAAACATACAACACCTGCTCAACAAAAGATATGCAACAGTGGGGTAACTTTGCAATAAAGGAACTTAGTCCTTACACCCACATCTCAATATTTAGAATAAAAGCGGAAAATCTAAACATTGAATAACATCAAACATATATATATATATATATATATATATATATATATCATCCAGCATGTTACAACAACATAAGACATGTTTTCATAAACATTCCACAACAAGATACATATACCAATGTATCACAAAAGAATCATGTATATCCTAGTTACCCGGTGCTACATATCAGAGTCGACCGACCAAAATAATGGAAGACACGCTTCACAAAAAGACCTCCAGCCTACCTACTCTGCAATGCCTCATAGAGCACCATAAAACAGCAGAAGGGTGAGAAATATTATCATAATAACAATTCATATAATTATATATATAATAGCATAAAATACATATATTCTACATTCTCATCACAATTCATCACAACTCACTCATATACATCGCAATATATATATATATATATATATATATATATATATATATATATATATATATATATATATATATATATATATATATATATATATATATATAGATAACACCAAGCATATTCATCATGCATACTTTCACAATTCTTATCATTCCACATAAATATACACATTTATGTTTATTCACCAATGTACAATTATAAAGATGATAAATGCTAATCATAGAGACCGACTCACGACTCTATGCAAATGCAATGCGGTACCGACTCAATCATCTCAAGTTCACTCAGGAGCTTATTGGAACCATCGCTCGTTACCAATGTAACTCCCCGTCGGGCCTACAATGTTCACCCATTTCTCACACCTCACATAGGCACAAAATGTTTATGGATTTCTCACACCTCACATAGGCACACAATTCAATTGCTCACACCTTACATAGGCACACAATTGTTTGTAATCATCGCTCACACCTCACATAGGCACACGATGTTACAACAGATTCTCATTAGAATCACACAACACAAGAATGTACATCATTGTGCTTCACATACAAAATGACTCAAGACACTCTTGAAATGCATACATATCCACAATATATTCATGCATTCACCTCATACCATCACATACAATCTATACACATTCACATCAATTTCGCCAAACGGCAACGAGCATCACTTTACCACTTAAACGACAACGAACTCTATTACAATTGTCATGCATTTACATTTAATTTAAACCATGCATTTATTTTCCAAAAGACCACAATTCACAATCTAGGATTCACGCCATACGGCTACCCACATCATATCATATAACAGCATACAAGCTACACGTTTCGGGAGAAGGTCGATCACATCCGAGTCGAAGAATCGATATTGGATGAGAATAAAAAAAGAAATATGATGTGCTGACATGCTTGCTAAATTGCTCGCCTAGCGGAGTCATAGCGAACGCTCGCTACTGGCTCGCCTAACGAACATGCTAGCGAAGGCTGTCATTTGCTACTGGAAGTGTTCGCTACTTGCTCGCTGGTGCTTCTCCTAGCGAGCACTTCGCTACTTCCCTCGCCAGAGCGAATAAGGGTCTTTTAGATTCTGTCCAAGTCTGGGAGTGTTCGCTGGTAGCTCGCTGGGTGCTCGCCTAGCGAACACTTCGCTACCTCACTCGCCAGTGACTCGCCTAGCGAATACTTCGCTACTCAAACTCTCAATTATTCAAAAATGTCAGAAGGTCACAAAATCACCCGATTTTAATCTAACAAGTTTCAATAGTCTCGACCCAACATTCCTCGACTAAACTACGCAATTTATTTCGAATTCTAACCGTGAAAAACATCGGTTTCTATCAATTTTACCAATTCGACCTAAAATGGAAATATGTGGAAAAACAACCAAACAATCCAAGCAAACACATATATAATGATATACATTGATGAGATAATAAGATTTCACACCCTTACCCGATTAAATCGATTCCTAGAAGTTGTTTTGAAGATTTCCAAGCTTTTTCTCTTTTTCTCCTCTTTTCTCTTCTTCCTCTTTCTTTCTCTCCTTATTCTTCTTTTCTTTTTCTTTTCTCTCCTCTTTCTCTTTTATATATTTCTATTCTAATCCTTTCTATTACTTTTTCTCTCAAAATATCTAATAATTCATTTTCTCACAAAATATCTAACTTAACATTACTTAAGAAATATCTAAAATACCCTCCAACCTAATTTCCCCGAAAACTCTCAAAAACGATAAAATAACACAATATGCAAACATAACATATTAACACACCAATTCCACAAATAAAATAATAATCACCCAAATAAAATAAAAGACTCAACAAAAATGGGAAATCAGAATCGGGGCGTTACATAAGGGATGCGTATCATACACATATTGTTTTTTTCTTCAGTTTGTTTAAATACTTTTTCCGTATAGTTGTGTCATTTTTGCTTTCTCTGTTACACGAACTTGTTCGTGTCACTCTGTTTTCTCTGATTTTCCCTTTTGTTTTTTAGTTTTTTCTACAAATTCAACAAGTATGTCTCAATCCCCAGATGAAGGCCAACTTTTCCGGTCTGATCAACAAGTATGTCTCAATCCACACAAAAAGTTATCAAGGAAAAAACATGGATTCTCAAGGATAATGAGTTACCAGAGGTCTCCGATGAATATATTCATAAACTTAAGTTGTATTTTAGCGTAACTCTTAATTGGATAGACCAAGAGGTTGAAATTCCAATAACTTTTCATAAGTTAGATTGAATCAAATTTACTTCAATCCACTAAAGATATATTTAAATTGATTTATTGAATTTATTTACTATCATAAATTTCGTGATACTATTTAAAATTTTTTATTAAAATAATTTATGATATTTTTTATAAATTTATTTTTGTAAGATTTTCGAAATAGTTTATGAAAATAACATATAATATATATATATATATATATATATATATATATATATATATATATATATATATATATATTAAATTTATTTTATTTTTTTGTCATAAAAAGAGCTTATACAAACTTATTTATAAATGCTTATTTTTATAAACACTTCTAAGTTAATTCAAACAAATCATAAGTTTACTTGAGTTTCTCATATCATTCTCAAAACTAACTTTAAATTCTATATAAAAAACACTTGAATTAAGAAATTTCTTATACATCAACATTTAAAAAAAAAACGGTGAATCAATTGAGGATTGAATTAGGTCAAAATGTAATTGAGTTGATTTATGTTGGGGTTCACGCGCACACATGAACGAACACCTTCTTGTTACAAGAATAAGGTTTTTGAACTCAATGCGCAATCTCACTTCCTCTTGTTCCATCAGAGCTTTCGCATCTTCCCCATTTCTCCGCTCCAATCATCTTCCTTTTCTTCCTTCATTTTCACCTTCCGGTAACTTCTCTCTTCCTCCATTCTCTTCTCTTTATCTACCATTTCTTTCTTATGCAAATTTCTAACTCTCTTTCTCTATTCAGCAACAGGAAAATCCACACTTTCAATTCAATGCGCTGTTCAATTCCGCCCCTGCATCGACATTCACAAGGTAAACCACCCTTTTTCATTATTCCCAATTATTCCCAATTTATACAAAAAGGACCTATTTTTATGATCGATTTTTGGGGGAATGTCGTTTGCAATTGCGGCTAAGGTTCTATCATTGTGTTTGTTGCAGGGGAAAGTGAAACAAATTGTTGGGTCAACCCTTAAAGATTTGAAAGGTGATGATGGGTCGGATCCAATTACCAATTTTGAGTCTGATAAATCAGCAGCTGAGTATGCCACACTTTACAAACAAGATGGACTCAAAGGTGGTCATGTTATCATGCTTGGTGCTGATCCTTTGAGCAAAGCTGCTTCCCTTGAGGCATTGCATGCTTATCCTGGTATTCTAGTTTGATGCCAACATTTTTGTTCCTGTTATGTTTCATGTTTGATACTAGTTTATTCTAAGAATGTGATGCTAGGTAGAAGGTGATATTCATTGTTTTTATTAGTTTTCAATTTTAAGAAATGTCACTAGAAGATTATGAAAAAATGATTAATTTGGATAGAAGCATAGTCCTGGATAGAACAATATGGCGGGAGTTGATCTATGTAGCTGATCTTATTTATTGTGATAAGACTTGGTTGTTGTTGTATGGAAGAAAGCCAAGAATCTAACTTTTTTAAGCTTCCATAAAACGCCATCATACGCAAATTGACCACGGAGGTTGTTAAAAACTCTGCGATTGCAGTTCTCCATGACCGATATTTGATAATGCTGACTAGTAGAAAGAAATTTTGTAACCATAAGTCTAATGAGATGGGTGTGGCACCTATGTTTATGTAGAGTGATCAATGGCCATGCATCAAATTTGAAACCCAAATTTACAAAAAATGAAGAAATTATATGACATGAATGATATGACTAATTTCATATTATACATTCTTTGTGATTGTTATTGAGAACTTTTTATTGGGTGTTTATAGGAACAAGGGACCTTTTGTTGATATTGAACTTCTTATGGTGATTAACCATGAAAATGTCTTTGACTTCATGCGTATGTTTGTCAATACCAGTATAACATGGGAGAATGCTTTCAAGTTGTTTTGCATTGCCTTTGTCTTTCATGGTTGATTATATATTTCAAGCTCTTACATTTCTCCTCTACTAAACTTATTGTGGATGAATGGTACAATTTAGGCGGTCTGCAAGTTGGAGGGGGAATAAATTCTGACAATTGTTTGAGTTACATTGATGAAGGAGCAAGCCATGTCATTGTGACATCTGTAAGTTATATATCTTCTCTCCTTTGGGTTATTCAACTTTTATGCAGTTGGTTAGCTAGCCTTAGTTGGTTGAAGGAGTTAGGATGTGATGCTATAAAAAGGGAAAGAGAAGTGAATTAGAGGAATCTAGAAACACGTCAGAACTGAGAGAGTTTGAAGTCGCTCTCAAAGCAGGCCTATGGGATTGTACTCTGTAGTATTCCCTTAAGGTCACATTGATCTTGAGACTTTTCTCAATAATATTCACATTGTTCTTCTCACCCATTCTTTCGAAATACTAGTTGGATTAGTCATTTTAGCTCACATTAACATTTGTCCATTGACAAAATATGTTGTACTAAATGTGTATATAGATGGGTTTACGACTCAAATATTCTCTTAAAATATGTATAGATTCATAGGTCTTACTACTCTCAAACCTTTTTGAAGATATATACTGTACTAATAAGAACAGTTTCTGTGACTTTTTCATTTCATTTATTTTATTTTAAGTCTAAAATTCGATGATTGATAATGAAAACAAAGAAAAGAACATAAATTTGTAAGTTGCAAGAAAAGCACATTAGTTTGCATGGTCTCCAATCTTGATCTGTATTTATGCAACCTATCAATTACATTATGGGAAAAACATGTGGTATTTGTTAATAGGAAGTTATTTTTTTTCTATCCATGTATTTATTGATTCAATCTTTACAGTATGTATTCAACAATGGTCAAATGGATCTTGAAAGGCTTAAAGATCTTGTTCGCATTGTTGGAAAAGAGAGGCTTGTGTTGGATCTCAGTTGCAGAAAAAAGGTACAAATTGTTCTCGTTATATTTGAAAGTGAATTGCATTCAAGAAAAAAGGTTCTGCATGGAGAAACAGAAAGAAGAAATATTTAATTAACAGGCTAAGCATTCAATTCACAATGCTATTTCACGTGTTCGTAATCTGATGTACATTTTAAAGAAACAATCTATGATGTTAAGGGTCCCAATCCTTCAATGCATTTAATCATTTAATTGAACTTTTTTTTTCAAGCACTTATAGTTTCAATGCTCAGGATGGTAAATATGCAATTGTCACCGATAGATGGCAGAAGTTCAGTGACGTGTCACTTGATGCTGAAGTAATGCAGTTTCTTGCCAACTTTGCCGATGAGTTTCTGGTTCATGGTGTTGATGTTGAAGGAAAAAAGTAACAACTTTTAATCTCTAAAGGTAATTAATTACATACAAAGACAGAGATTCTGATGGTGAATGGTTGCTCCTTGTAGGTTGGGAATTGATGAAGAGCTCGTGGCTTTGCTTGGCAACTATTCACCGGTTGGTAGCACACCCTTGATTTTACTTTCATGTGAAGTGTGCATATTACTGATGCATTTTTTTCTACCAGATTCCTGTGACTTACGCTGGTGGTGTAACTGTGATGGATGATTTAGAGAGGATAAAAACGGCTGGAATGGAAAATGTCGATGTTACCGTGGGAAGTGCCTTGGACATTTTCGGGGGAAACTTGGCTTATAAAGATGTTGTAGCCTGGCATAACCGACAAAAGGTCTTTGTGGCTTAAATAAGCATCGTTGAGAATTGTTGGGGGCAGGGGTGAGTGAGCTCTGAGCAAGGTTTGTTTCATTGTTTCTCGTAGTACTAACCTTGAATCTGGTGATATTTCCAGCAATCTCTGATTCCAGCATTTGCATCACCCATTAACTTGTATTCTGAATAATGTAACCACATAGGAGTATTTATTTATATATAAATAAATATGGCGTAGTTGTTATTTAATTTTATTATTTACACGCCGAAATATAGAGGGATCCTATCCTATGTATGTTTTGTTGACATACAAGCGTTCCTAGCTAAAGATGCTCTATTAAAGAAGCATATCGAATCTACTGTTTATGTATTATGTGAATGTTTCTTCTCCACCCTTGTAAAATTAATGACAAATCTTTGTTTTATGGTGCTGCCTCAAGTTACAGTAACTGTTGTAATGTTGGTTCTTCTCAGTTTGAACAAGGAAGAGGACGTTGTAACATTAGTTGCGGAGGTTTTCACCCTGCTTGTCAATTGTACAACTCTTAACTGGCAAAACCTCACTGCTCTGTGTTTGTGGTTTACTTTTGTTTTCATATTGCTCTGTGTTTGGTTAAACCTCACTGCTCACATCAGGTACTCTCAAAATCATCTGTTAGTTCAGGTTGACTCTATTATTTTAATATATATCTTTATCTTATAGTTCTGATGATACAACTATTTCCCAGTTTTCTACTATTTTGTAACAATTTGGACTTTCTTCAGGTAGGAAGCAAAAAACGAAAAAAATGTGCATTGAATCAAAGTCGAGATTTATTATTATTGAAACGACCACACTATGGAAAACCAGTGTGCAAACAAGACAATTGAAACTGTATAAAATTAGTACAAAATGATATCCATTATTGGAGATAGGGATGTCAATAGGGTGGGACGGGTTGGGGGATTCATCTCCATCTTTGTCTCTGCCACTAAATTCATTCCCTGTTTTCATCCGCGATCTCCGTTAAGGGGAAGTTTCTATCTCTATCTCCGTTCTCGATGGATCTCTGCTTTCTACGAATTCTCGCAGATCTTATATTTATCCATAAACATTTTATTTTTTAAAATATTTATATTTATCCATTAACATTTTATTTTTTAAAATATCTATATTTTCGCGTAAGAATTTCACATATTTATTGTTATTAAAAAATACTAGTATTTTTATGTTTATTAATTTTTTTATTAAAATACAATAATATAAATTATAATATTTTTTTAAGTAACAGTATGTCTAAACAATTAAATCTTTTTAAAAATGAACATAGAGGAATTAGAAAACCTAATATAAATATAAATTATATATTAAATTAATCATATTAAAAATAAATAGACGGGGCAGGGCGGGGATGTATTCTCGGTCTCCGTCTTCGAAGTGCTGTTAGGGATTTTTTTCCTCAATTCCGCCTCTTTTGAGAGAAATTTTTCATCTTTGAGATCCCGGGACAATTTCTGCAGGTATCTCCACATGCAAACTCCAATAAAAGTTTCTTTGTAACAAATATTATAGGCATTATTAGTATAGTTTTTTCTTTAATTTTAAATTAGAAATCGATTTAAATAGTTTTCTTTAAAATACTATTTCATTCTTTTCCAAAATTTTTTAAATATCAAAACTTTAAAAAATTATTTAAATTTAAACCTATTTTGAATGATATTTCATAAATTTTTTTTTTAATATATATTTTTGAGAAATTATAAATTTTAACTATGTTTAGTCTTTTAATTTAACAAAAAAGAGTTTTAAAAACTTCTAATATTTAATTTTTTATAAAATTCAATTTTAAAATGTGAAAGGAAACTGTTTTTGAGAAGAATGGTTCTTTGGTGGTGATGTCTCATCTAGGGGAAGGGAAGGGGGTCTTAGAAGAATTTCTCTTTAGTGGAGAGATATTTCTGAGCTTGGATCCATTCTCTGCTATGTATGAAAACTTTTATTTCATATTCATTTGATTTGATCAAAATATCTTGGTATTATATTTAAAATAAAGTTTAAAAAGAAAAAAATTACAGTCCAGATGACTTATGTTAATTTAGTCGGTGATTACAGTAAATATGATTTTAGGCAACTGTGAAAATTTGGTATAAAGTAAAAAATCATTTTCTACTCTCTGAAAGTCTTTTTATTAAATTGTCTAACCCATATTATATATTGTAAAGAAAAAATTATATTCTGAATAACTCATTGTAAGTTATCGGGCTATTATAACAAAAATGAGTTTAAGCAATATTATATTCTAAATAATAGAATAATTTTTATATAAGTTATTCGATGAATATATAATCTATTGAAATAAATGAATGCAAATTGTAAAGAGAAATTCTTTACGTGACGTTCTTCAATATAGTATATTGTGTAAGAACCCACAAATTTTCGATTTCAAAGAATTAATAATAAATAAAAAAGAATATAATTAAAATAATTTGAAAAATATAAGGGTGGGAAGATAACTGTTGAAATATGGGGTAAAGTTTTCCTTTGTATGTTAGGTTGTCTAGAGAAAGAATTCATTTATGGGCCTGTATCTCCACAAAAGTTTTTACTTCCAAAGAATTAGCACAATTAGAGGAGATTTTAACTTACCATCCCCAATTATATTTGCACCTCCCATAGTTTTAAATTGCCAAAGCTGCCTTAGACCGAAAATTGAATAAAATTTTTGGTATACTGAAAATTTTAAAATTTTAGAAAGGGGTGTCACATGTTGTTTGATAAAAACATCTCAAAAAATACTTCTTCAATTTTTTATTAAGGCAGGAGTATATTTCAATGGAGCTTCACCTCACGTAGAGTTCTAGTTTCCGGATGACACCACATCTCTCGCCGCCATGGCGTCCAAGTTGAATAAATTGTTGCCTGATACCAAAAACAGAAAGGTGAGAAAGATCGAGTTTCGTGAAGATTGAATTGATACTAACGGGAGGGTGAAATACAACCTTATTGAGTTGCAGACCGATGAAGATATGAAGGATATGTGGAGATCATTTCTCCGCAGGATAACAAAGAGGCCGATCAAGTTAGATGCTAAGACTTCAAGGTCTATCGACGACATAATTAAGATGATAAAACATCTAGAATCATCTGGTAGTGTCTATGTTTTCTAAAAAAAATAAAAAGAATAAACAAGAACGGCAAAATCTCTAGTACCATTAAGAAGGAACAAAAGAGTACGAGAATAGAATGAGAACTAGGCACCCAACTCCAAAGGTTTAACCATACTTTCCTAAAAATATCATACTCAAACATAATCCAAGTTACAACCTAAAAAAACCTCTTATGTGTGTGTTATGATTTCTATGATGAACCATATTAGAACATGATCAAGCTAAATATAATTTATTTTCCATGTTGATTGAGTGACAATTCGATCCATTGAGCGAGACATAGTGAGCTGAGTGATAGGTTGAGTACTCGTCAAAATATTGAGGATGTTTTCCGAATTTGCCAGATGGAAGTTGGAACAATGGTCAGGTAACAGAAAAAATATGGTGATGTTCAATTGTTATTGTACGACTTGTTATATGTTGAAATGTGTAGTTGCAGGCGAGTTGTTTGAGGACAACCAACGATTCAAGTTTGGGGTTGTGATGATAGTCCGTCATTGCATTTAATTGGTCGAAGAATCAGGGAAAAACAAGCAAAAGATGAGCCAAAATGATGAAGAAATACCCAAGAATGAGGGGAAAATAGTCAGGTATGGAAGAATGAGACTTTGTCGAAATTCTGGTGCAAAAAGGGTCATTTTTACACAACTGCTAGAATAATCACGCGCAACATCGCGCGCCATCGTGTGCGCGATAGAGGCGAAGGAGTTGCATCGCACACATGATTCTTTTATAATGCGCGTGATGTAGGGATGGCAACGGGGCAGGTTTTACTATACCCGCACCCGCTTTTATGTAACACACCTGCCCCTGCCCCCAAACCCGACCGGACGTAAAAATTTACCACCCAGACCCGCCCCCAGTAGAGAACGGGTGCACCCGCCCCCGCCCCGCCCCCACCCGAAAAAAAGTTCTTTTTAATTACAATAAAAATTAATAATTTAATTTAAAAATTGATTATTTTAATAAATTAATTATTTATTTAATTAAAATTTTAATTAATAAATGAATATTAACTCGAATAATTTAATTATTTTAATTGTAATAAATGTATTAATAATTTAATTAAAAATATAATTAAAAAATAAATATTAAAATAAGTAAAATAAGAGAATTAAATTAAAATAAATTATTCGGGGGCGGGGCGGGGCCGGGTGCGGGCGGGTATTAGTGTCTCCCCGCATCCGCACCCGTAATTAAAAATCGGATTTTCCCCGCACCCGTACCCACTCAAACCGGGTTTTCCCCATTAATTTCGGGGGGGAGGGGGGGGGGGGGGGGTCCGGGCGGGCCCCTACGGGTCTGGTTTTTTTTTGCCATGCCTAGCGTGATGGACATTTTTTTGGTCTTTTTCTGACGCGCTATGAGTGCCTTTTAACGGGATTTTTAGCAGTTTGACAAGGGTTACGAATTTTGGAGACTAGAGCACGATTTAGAGAGCATAAGTGGAGACTTTGAGAGTATTTGAAGCCATTGGAGGCCATCTCTTCAAAGGATTTTTGTTATTTTCATTTATCAATTGTGGTATTTTAATTGCAATATGAGTAGTTAAATTCTCCTAGGTTAGGTTGTGTTATGATGAATCTATTTCTTTATTGTTGGATTCTATGTTGATTTGATCGTTGTATGAACCTATTGATCTAAAATTCTATTCAGTTGTTTCTTAATCTTAATGTTTTTTTTTATATTTTAGATACTCTGTTAATCTGATTTTGGACAGATAGGGATTACTGACCCTTAACCTATGTGTTAGATCTAGGACAACTGTTCTACTTCGTTGGTCGAATAAGGATAGGAGACCTCGAGTAGTGTCATAAAGAATTAACGTTCTATACATCACCTAACCATGCTTACGCTAGCAGACTAGGGATAGAAAGCTCTGAGAAG